CCGGGCCTTGAACACTGCCATGGATGAGAGCATTTACCACTTCTCTGGGCAACCTGTTCCAGTGCCTCACCACCCTCACTGTAAAGAACTTCCTTACATCTAACCTGAACTTCCACTGTTTAAGTTTAAACCCACCACCTCTTGTCATATCACTACAGGTCCTTGATGAAGAGTCTCCCCAGCATCCTGTAGTCCCCCTTCAGATACTGGAAGCTGCTATGAGGTCTCCACACAGCCTTCTCCAGGCTGAACAGCCCCAACTTTCTCAGCCTGTATACAAACATGATAAAGATTTTGTTTTGCAAGAGGTCCTGGGGATCGTTGCTGCATCCTCTGCCCTGAAGGATGTGTGTATCTGGTCTTGACCAGTATCCCCATGGCTAAGCTGGATCTGGAGGCAGTGTCTGCAAGCAGTATAGCTGCAAATGGGTGGGGTAACGGAGAACTTCTTGCTTTGTTCTTCGTAGTTTGGGGTATGCTTTTCATGTGCTGGCAGATGCTTGGCTTTGCTTTGTCTTCTGGAAGGTTACCACTTGACGTGGGAGCATAAGGGCTGACGGGAAGACACCAAGTTGACCTCAAAGAGGGACCAACGGTAGTGTTTGGGGGAGATTGGGATAACCAAAGGTAGTATTTGGGAGGGATCAGGAAAGATTTAGTTGTTTTAAAGCCATTCCATTGGGAATTGGGTGTCTGCAGGCCGAGAAAGCTTTTATTTCAGGGGGATTTCAGCATCCACAACTCCTCCATGAGCTGCCAGGAAGTCTCTGCCCATCCATGTTTATTCCCTGCCCACACATGCAGCCCCCAGCTCACTGCTCGATTGCACAACGTCCTCTTCAGCAGCCTCCTTGGCGCAGGGGGAGGCAGGGTGAGGGGACAGACCCCCTGGAAGAGCTGAGGAATGCACTGGCTCCCAGCCCTCCCGGCTTAGCACAGAGCGGGGACACGCTTCCTGCGACTAGAAACATCCCCGGCGCCTTTCCCTGTCTGGTTATGCCCAGCACAAAAGTTCTTTCTCTGGGGACTCCTCCTTTTATCTAACACCTTTCATCTCTGGCTGTGGCCTTTCTTTGCTGCTCCAGCCCGCTCCTCACCTCTGACCCCAAGAGCAGAAAGGGAGAAGGAATACTTTTGTTTAATCTGCAGACTCCTAAAATTCTTCAGATCCATCTCTTGCTTTGGCCTGTTGCCTGTGTGCATGGCCACTGGGAAGGGGCAGCCCCTTCTCTAGGAACTCGGGATTGCTGCTGGATACAGAGATGGTCGTTCAGCAGAGCTTGGTCCCATGTTATGCCTTATTCTGAAGCCTGGGTGAAATCCTTCTCCCTGCTCCTTCGTGTGACATCTGAGCTTGTGTAAAAGCCCCAGTTTCAGATGGGAGAGAAATCCCTCGGTACCGGTGCTGCCAGGAATAGCCTGGATGGCCTCATTTATTTATCTCTGTGGTCAGCCCTGATCAAAAGCAGCCTGACTTTTTCCTCTATAAATGCTCTTGAGGGAGGAGGAGGGTTTGTTTAGGTTCAGTGCAGATGGGACCCAGAAAAAGAAGAGGGCTGGGGGGAAAAGAGCAGCAACTTTGCATTCTAGAAATTCCCATGACATTTGCTTCTCGAGCTGCAAATAAAGTATGTGCTCTGTTAAGAGGCTGCCCTTGCTTGCAGCCAGCAGGAAGGAAGCTGTCAAAAGCATCATGTTTTCTAGGCAGAGGCAAGTTGCTCAGTGCCCCTGGTTCTCACCCAGCCCTAGATCTGCCACCCCTTCTCGGGGAAGAGATGGAGGGACGGAGGCTGTGTGCACCTCCTGGGTGCGCTGCTCTGTAGCTCTGCTCTGTAACACAGAGCCCTGTAACTCGGTGTTAGCTGCTTCATAGTGCTTCAAAGGGTCCCTCACTCCTCACCCAGGCTGCAATGGCCCAGTGCTTGCTCTTGCTAGTTGGGCATACTGGTTTTTGTGAATGGAGCTGGGCCAACTCTGTTCATTATTAACCCGCTCTGCAAACTAGAGGGAGGCCCGATGGAGTTTGCCCTTCTCAGGAAGGGAGAGACCTGCTGAGTGCAGTGCTGGTACCGTCCTTTTGCACCCCTAAAATCACAACGGAGCATGTTGGTGGCGCCATTACCAGTGCTGCGGCCCGAGCCCTCTGGATCGGCTCCCACCAGTCACTAGGAGGAGCTGAAGATCGCGCGTTGAAGCAGCCCTGGCGCTCCCATCCCTTCAGATGAGACTCACAAGCCCTGGAGGACAGGCTGCGGGAGCTACGCTGGAGTGGCTGGGTGGGAAGGGAAGCACAAAATGTCCCTTTCATCTGAGGCTCCCGGTGGGAGGAAAGCCAGCCCTCTGGCAGGTTTCCCAAGGAAGGATTTGCAGACCCTTGCTGGTAGCAGGGCTGGCAGCACACAACGAGAAGGCCCTTCAGGCTAGTGGGGAGGCAGCAAGCAAGATAAGGATGTGATTTGGGGGGGAGGCTTTGCAGAGATAAGGGCACTGTGGGGTCACAAAGATGACCAGATCTCTCTTGCCACAGAGCTCTCTGAGTTCTGGTTGCTTCTTCTCTCAGTCGTGTCCCTGGGGTCTCTTCTGTCACTGGTCATCCAGCAAGGCCTTGGGGAGTGTTGTCATATCTTGGATAATTCCCAGAAAACTTTGGTCTAAAAAAGCAGTGCCCAGAGCAGGACTGGCTTTGGTCAGAGGAGCTTTTTCACTTCTTAGCTAATCATCAGGGATCCGCAGTGGATGCTGCACTGGTGTGTGACCACTGAAAACAGGAGCAGAAAAGGAAGATGGGTTGGAGGGGTTGTTGTTACCAAGATATGATGGGGCAGGAAATCTGCCTGTGCAATGATGGGGGGGACCCTCCTCTGGCTCCAGTCCTGTCTGCGTAAGAACATGGGTCAAGTCTGAAACCACCCTGACCATAAAATGTCCAAAGGTCATCATGTCTGACAAGCGTCCTGGTAAAAGACTTGGTTTGTTTGCTTATGATAGGACAAAAGAGAAGGAGAAAAGGAATTTGTACTGGAGAGGGCAGAAAAGTTTTGCCTTGTTTTTATGTTAGCTTTGGGTGTGTCTTAAACATTTTGGGCCTTACTTAAACTCAAAAAGCTGCTCAGCCTTGACTTAAGCAGCACAACTAAGTCAGTGCAGAGGTGAAGCTACAGTGAGAGGAGGAATATGGAACTCAACTGGCGCCTGTTTTGAGAGCAGACACGTCACCCTGTAGCCACCCATGTGGAGCTCCATGCGGGTCCCAGGCACAGCCTTTGCTCACTCTTGTCTCCCTGTTTCTTTTGTCCCCAGGTGTCAGCAGTGCCAACCGTGCTGGCTATGAAGAACGGAGATGTTGTGGACAAGTTTGTGGGGATAAAAGATGAGGATCAGCTGGAGGCATTCCTCAAGAAACTCATCGGAGCCTGAAGTGAAAGGGTTGGCTGTACCTCTGCCTCCAGACACGTCCACGTTGTGCATTCCTTGCCTGGGAGACCTGAGGGGCACGTGAACTACCTGCCTTGTACAGCCTGGGGTTTTCTTCTGGTTTGGGGCTTTTAGGAGACAGACAGTGTTGTAACCCTTCCCTCCCACCCACCCCCTTCTCTTGAGCAGCAGTACTTGTAAAGGGCACTGAGGAGCAGGACTGCTTATTCTCAAGATGGGGAATGCGGCTGGAATCAGCCTGTGTTTATCTGCAAAGAGCTGACGTGCAGAACTGCTGCTGCCGAGTTCAGGGGAGGAATGTTTTTCTCTTTGTCTAGTATCTGATAGCCCAGAGCAGAGGGCAGCTGCTCCCTGCAAGATGTTGGTACATACCTGCCCTGGGTGGGTTTGTTTAAAGCTGAGAATGCCTCTGCCTTGTCTGTGAAACCTGTCTCTGTCCCTCTGTCCTCGTGTCGCTGGGACAGGTACAACACTTCCACAAATCCATGGGCTCCAGTCATAATTTTATAAGAGAAAATAGGGAGAAGTATTTTATGGATCTCCTTTTATATGTCTGTAATAAAGAGAGCTTTATCAGTTGCTGTTGTCTAGCTGGAGAATAAAACTTGATTCTCAGAAATCACAGGGGAGTCCCTTATCTGTCCAGAGCGGTGAGAGGGAGTATCGGCACCTCAGTGGCTGGTTTCTGATGATGGGTTGGGAGAGCACAGGTTAAGACTTGATCCCTACTAAAAGGGAGAGCGCCGTGGAACAAACAAGTGGGTTACTTTCACAGGGCTGTCAGTGCTGCTTCTGGGACCCACTTCGGGTGCTGCTGACTCCAGGATGCTGGAGGAAGGACTCGCCTCCTGTGCGCAGAGTAACAGTGGCTCCCTGCGCACAAGGAACCTGAGCTGTGCTCACTCCCCCTCTTCTTTTCTTACTCCCTTCCTGCTTGTGGACCCTGAGAGCCTCCCTCTCCCTCGTGTGAATGATTAAATCTGCTCATGCAGGTGAGCTCTGCCAACAGGCAGCCTTCTGACTTTAATAGCCCTGACCTTTAGACTGAGGGAGGCAGTTGTGTGCTCATACTGTGAGCAGCCTTCAGCCCTTCCCATCTCCTCCCTATATACACCTGATTCCAGTCAGCCTGGCTTCTGAGTGCTCCCAGCCTCCTCCTGTGCTGTAGGCAGAGTCCAGCACCAGGGCTGATGCCCACTGTGGTGCTTGTTTCCAGTTTGCTTATCTAAGCCACATGAGAACATTGTAAGTGCTTAAACACCATGTAACAAGCTGCTTTTTTTTAACTCCTTTCCAGCTTCTGTTTCCTTCAGCCACTCTTGAACCTGCTTTGGCTCAGCTCCATTTCACCACCCTGGCACAGGTTGTTATGAGAGGTGAGGCCATTTTTTTTCCACACCTTTGCAATAAGGATTTATGACCTTTGACGAAGCAGAGGAGTGATGATCCAGGGCCTGCATGTCCTGCTGCAGCCACCGTGCTGCAGGCATTGCTCCTACCTGCTCCCATCATCCCCAGGGCCTGGGCAGTGGCACAAAGTGGTGGTGCTGGTCCCCCAGGGTGGGCTGGGCTGATCTCACCCCTGGCATGCTGCTAGAGGTGACGTCACTTGGATGTAATTTGGTAAAGAACTGTTGGTGAGGTACATTCAATAAAAACCTGGTATTTTACTTTTTCAGGAGGCCACAGAAGCTGTGCTGCTCGTGTCCTGCTCACGCTCCAGGCCAGGCAATTTCCCCTGCAGTTTCGGTGTTCCTGCTCTGTAAACACTTCTAGTAAAGACTGTCTCCATTTTCCTGCATGAGCAGGAAAAGTAGGGGAACAGCGTCACATACCCGACAATAGTCAACTTTCATGCTTCACCATCACCAGAACAGGAAAAAACACAGTGACTTTGCATTGTGTAATTAAGGGGCAGTATAAATTAGCTATTTTATCACTTCCTACTGAGGAAAAGCAGAGCTAAGGTGCCATTCAGCTGTTTCTCTGAGATAAATGCTGAAGAGCCATGTGTCCTGTGGAAATCCTTCAGAAACAGTGTGATGGGTGGAGAGGAGAAGAAGGGGTTTGGGGGCATCGTGAGACTCCCCAGGTGCATTGCACGGTTCTCACCACAGGACAGGCCTCAAAGCACAAGGATGTTTTCTGTGGCAGGATCGTAATTCAGGTCCCCATTTGCTGAGTACTGGGGAGGCTTCAGGGCTTCCCACAGCTGCTGGTAACAGGGGAGGTACAAGTGGGGAGCGCTACCAGCGGGGTATTTATGTAGAGGGGTTGCAGAGCGATTTTCATGCCACCTGAACGTGGTGTTGGTCTTTCCCAAGAGGAACGAGCTGAAGGTAGTAGGTAATTCCATGCTGGCTGGGAAAAGGTTTCCTCTCTGTTCACTCCAACAAGGATGCAGTTGGTTTTCCTTCTTGAAGTTAAGCATATCGAATGCTCCTCCAATTTGCTAAGCATTTGCTCTCTCCTGCCCAAGCCTGGCGATGTTACAGCAGCTTTCTCAGCTTCTAATGTTCCTGGTTGCTATTTTATCGAGGACACTGTGGTTGGTGCCTAAATTCACTTCTCCTCCCTCCCCAGGTATGTTCTGAACCCAACACCAAGATCCCCTCCAAAGTCCAGAGTGGTGCCTCTGTCCTCGCAGCCTTATCCAAGGTGCACAGGCTGAGGTTTTCCATTCATTTCTGTTGGCTTTACACTTGCATCAAGCCCTAACGCACCTGATCCTTTCCCAGAGATGTTTGTATCTGCCCATTGAACAACATGTTAACATCCAACTGCTCCAGCCCACAGTGAGTGCCTGTGAGGAGGGAGAGCTGTGCTACCTCCCCTGCTCGGGATGCCGTGCTGAGACCAGCTCCAAGTGCTGGTAGAGGATGGAAAATTCAGCACAGAGCCTGGAAAATACACACAGCCCGCTGTGGCTTGCAGCACGCAGTGGGCTGTGTGTATGTGGTCCTTTGAAGGGAACAGTTCTGGCCACGTTTAGTTCCAATGAGGTCTGGCCTCAGCAGCCCCAGCATTGACAGTAAATCCTTCGCTTTATCAACGTATTATATGGTTCCTCCTGTGCAAAGAACAAAACAAAGACAAGCTCCATGTCAACAAGGAAATGGCCAACACTGACACTGCCTTTCACCAGCCCGGCTGGGCTGTTTGCCCTAACAGTTTGTTAATCACTTTGGGCTTCCACCCCCCCTCATTTTGCTCAACTAAGTAATTAGAAATAAGTAATTAAATGCTCTGCCCCTGCAAGGCTGTTAGCAGCAACCTTAAGCTCAGTGCTGTTCAAAACTGGTGCTGAATGGCATCAAGTGTTCGTTGTTTCAGCTTCCTTCAAGTTAAAGAATAACAGTTTGCACAGCTGCAATATCCTAAGCAATAAAAAGATAAGACAGGCTTGGCTTCCAGACCAAAACCAAACCAGATCACATGTTACACAGCCCTTGTTACCTGCCCAGGCTCAAGTCCATCACCACACACGGGTACTGCTCTTCCCAAGGACATGGGGCGCAGTTGTGAGCTTCATAGTTCCTCTGCCTCTACAGCTTTGTAACCTCAGCAACACTTTCCCTTTTAAAAGGGGAAAAACGAGCTGCAACTCACAGTGAGAGCTGCAGCCACATAATGGGTGCAGTACTGGAAGGAGCTCCTGTGCTGAGCCATGCCTGGTTGCTTTCTTCCTCAGTGTGCATCCTACCAGTCCAGGGAAGGAGGGAGGCAGGAGCAGTGGGGAAACCCCACATTTCTTATGCCCAGAGGAGCCAAATGGGTAGAAGCCAGAGACCTCCAGGGAGAGCTTAAAAATCTGGCAGCCCATACCCCGGTGGGGATGGAGCAAGGAGATACCTAGTGGCTGCCTTCCCTGCTGGGATGGGGTCCCATAAGGAGAGGCCAGAAGGGGACACCTGCAGCTCCTGTGAAGAAATGTCCCTGCACATATAGGTATGTGTTTATCCACTCTGTTGTGGAGAGTGCCAAAAGCTTCTGGGGCTCACAGATGTCCGCAGCAGCTGTAGCTGCTGATGGAAGAGGATGGGAGCCAGCCTGCTTGCTCTCCCATCAGGGAAAGACTGAGCTTCTGGTACCCTTCTCAGCACACGCTACTCATCCCTCTGCTGCTGAAGGCGCCCCCGGCTCCATCTCTCCTGTGAGTGGTTGAGCAACACAGGAAGACAGGACATTTTCGCAGTGAGAGCCCTCAGAAACATCCACTTGAGGCTGTTCAGAGGGCACAAAGCGCACGAGAGTTTTCGGTCGTTTCCAGAGACCATGGTGACTTCTGGCGACCTGCATGGCCGCAACTCCTGCATGGCCGCAACTCCTGCATGGCCGCAACTCCTGCATGCTAGCCAGCACGCAGCTGGCAGCAAGAGGGTGTTTGTCCCGGCCGGCTCTGCAGGTAGCTTCATGGCCTGGGGATAGGGAGGAACTGCATCCCCCGAGGTTGCATTCTTGAGGCAATAACTCTTCCCCTCGAGGCCTGCAGGGACTGCGGGCTCCTTCCCTTGCAGGTGGCTTTAACCACAGGGCCGTGCTATGCTGCAGCCAGCGGGCAATGAGCGCCCTGGGTCTGGCTAGTGCCACGCGGCGGCTGGGATGGAGACAGAGGCAGGAGCTGCAGGCAAGCTCCAGCACGCCCAGTGGTATTTATATAACATTGTTTTGCTTTAATCTATTTAAGTCAATTGTCAAAGCCCTTTCTGTTCACTAGGAACCTTTTCCTTTTCTTTTTGACTGCAAGTTTCATCTTTCAAAGCTTGGCGAGTTTTGAGTGATGCTGAAAAACACCATTTGCAGCAGCTTTTTCTTCTGGGCTGGTATTGTTCAGGCGTAAGTGGTTGTTTTCTTTTTGTCCTGGCATAGCTCAGGAGTGACTGCATGGGCTGAGCTCAAGCGTTCTAAAAATACTCACCCGTGAGGACTGCTCCAGCATGGCAGTGTTCAGACCCAGAGATTAACGCCTTGGAGAGGTGCAGTGGTCTGAATACAAGAGCCTCAGAAAGAAGCCAGTGGCAGCATCATGCCAGCTCTGGGCACTGTAAGAGCTGCAACACGTGGCGGGCAGTGTGGACCTGCAGAGTGCTTTGGTGCCAGGACGCAGGTAGAAGGGAAGACAAGGCAGCTCCTGCAGAACCAACCCAGGGTAAATGCTACGTGTGGGGAGGCTGTGGGGCGACTCACAAGTCATAAAGAAAAGCCCTTCTCGCTGCGTGGAGCAGCAAGGCTGAGCGATGGGCCCGCTCCTCACCACAGGTTGGTGTGTGTAACCACATCCTCGTGTCGGAGTGTGAGACAGGCGGCTGCGGGGAAGGGGGGACGGCGGGGACCAAGCGGAGCAGAGATCAGGCACATGACAAATTGCAGGAAAGCATGTGGGGGCTCCTTTGTGTCCTTCCACCGGCTGATTGCAGGAAGCTCCCCAGGTGACGGCTTTAGCATCTGTGGGACAGGAGGCCGCATTGTTCTACGCTCCTGTTTGCAGCTGTGCCAGCTTTTGGCAGGAAGCTACAAGACAAAACCCTCACATTCTCCTTTCTCGCTTGCCAGGTTTGCTCTCAGGGGGCTGGTCCTTCAGCTTAGCTCATCATCTGAGGAGGTCCAGCTCC